ACTGAATGTAGTGTAAAGTGCTTTGGGGTCCTTAGGGACTAAGTAAAGCGCTATACAAATGCAGGCCATTTACCATTTTAACGCTTACAGCGGTATTTTTAATGTTTGTTTTGCTTTGATTCATTATAATGTTTTAACTCCACCGATGTGCTTCAAGTCTTTCAATGTAATACCCTCTCTAGCCACAGAGTGTCGCTGTCTGGTGGCAAATGTGGTTTGTTTATGAAGTGCAATGAATCCAAATGATCAAACAGTGACAGTATTGCATATGGTCTGGTGTTGTGGTTAATCTCAGTATTGTGGTATTATGTCATTTTAATGCCTTAGAAATTCAGTAAGAATTTACTTTTCTAATATAAGCCTCTTTCATAAAAGATAAATGTTTTACAGACAAATGAACAGGAGCAGTATGTCAGACAGGAGTTGCGCTTTTTTTAAAGTTCAATTGGGTTTTAATGAAAAGAAAACAAGAACCAGTTATGGAAAAGCGGAAAATATATGATTCTGTTTTTCTAACAGTGGATACCTGAAACTATCACATAGGATTCAGGTACACACAGGACAACACAGGGTGACACAGACACACAATTCAGAATCACCAATTAAATTTAACATGCATGGAAGAAGCCGGAGCAAAACACATTTTGAACTAGGGATCTTGTATGGGCAGAACTTTGTGCCATCAGAAACCGAATTGGAACAAGTTAAATTGGAATTTGAATTGCTCAGATTGAATCTGAATTGTAACTTTAGCCTAAAATTAGCCTAATTTGAAATTCAATGTATTGGTTTGTAAATGTTTGTCACTAAATTGAAATTGAATTTTATATTTTGAAAATGAATTCATTTGCTTTGAAACTGCATTTTATCCTTTAAAAATGTAGCTCTCAAATAATTTGTTTCACTTTTCACCATTCAGTTTCAGTCTACTCACCGACTCCGGTGAGGAAACTCCTGTGTAGCGCCAAAATAAGTCAACCAAATAGATGAATCAAGCGGCGATTTACATTTCTCAAGCTGTCATGGACATTTACCGAATATACAGTGGGATGCAAAATTTGGGCAACCTTGTTAATAGTCATCATTCTCCTGTATAAATCGTTGGTTGTGACAATAAAAAAGTTAAATATATCATGTAGGCGACACACAGTGATATTTGAGAAGTGAAATGAAGTTTATTGGATTCACAGAAAGTGTGAAATAATTGTTTAAACAAAATCAGGCAGGTGCTTAAATTTGGGCTCCACAAAAAAAGAAATGAAATCAATATTTAGTAGATCCGCCTTTTGCAGAAATTACAGCCTCTAAACGCTTCCTGTCGGTTCCAATGAGAGTCTGGATTGTGGTTGAAGGTATTTTGGACGATTCCTCTTTACAAAACATCTCTAGTTCATTCAGGTTTGATGGCTTCCGAGCATGAACAAGCTCAGAACATAATCAGCTCATGACCAGTTATGTGTTCAGCAGACATTACCGTAGTAATTTAGCCAGTTTCAGCTCGACATAGCTAAACCACTAATCTCACTTCATAGGTCACCCCTCAGGTGTCACTTTACCTGTGATAGTAACTCCCAGCATGTGTAGGTTTGATCTCTGCTCCATGTATGAAACACACATAAAGAAATCCACAGCGTGAGTTCAATGATGCTTTTATTTTGAAACTAAAGAATTGAAAGAAATGAATGTGAGTAAGTTTACAGTCAGTTATCTGTGTCTGGATTCAGATGAAAAATAAGGAAACATTCCTCCACAGCACTGACACACATTTTATATCAAAGTAAATCAGCTGTTTACATGTTTATCATGACAGTCAGATTAAGTTTAACATCTGTTAAGAGTTTAAGAAAAACACCTGCATGATTATCAAAGAAGAGAAAAAAGAGGAACTGTTGGATTTTGCTCAACTTAACAGGAAAGACTCCAGTTAAAAGCAAACATGTGGGCCAGCAGTCACCAAAATAACAGACTGACCAACACAGGACAGTGGAGCCAATAACAAATTATGCAGTTTACCAACTTATAGAAAATAGTCATGACCCAATGGAGGAGCAGCACTTTATGAAGAGCCGACTCAAAGAAAGGACAAAGAGAAGAGAATCACTGAGCATTTAACTGGATTTATTTGAATCAAAGATAACAAGAAGAAGTAAATTATCTGAGTCAGTAGAAACAAATAAACACAAAACTAGAACCCAACCAGAACGAGAGAGAGAGAGAAACTGATTATGGCAAATGATTTACTTCCTGTTTAACTAATGGCTAAGCTCCGCCCACACAGGTTAGGCCAAACAGGAAGTGTTGGAGCTGTCACACCTCTCACATGGTGAAGATCAGATGACCGCTGAAGGTGTTATGATGATTCTGACTGTCAAATATCCTTGGACCAGCCAATATACGTACAAACACCTGATCTCCAACCTCTAGAAGCAGTGAGGCTCCATTAGAGGCGCTCACTGTACCAGATGTTGGATTTTCATATACAACATAAATTTGCTCCTCATTCCTCAACAAGAAAGCACCTGCAACAATGTTTCCATGACCAAGTATGTGGCAGTCAAAGTGGTAGGCTCCTCTCACCGGTGCAGTGAAAATACCTGTGGGACATTTGTTTTTGTTAAATGGAAAATCAGCTGTTAGAACATCTGGAACATCAGCCTGACATCAACATAGCTGAGAAGTGACATTCGGTGTTATTACCTGTGTGTTTGTTGTAGGCATTTCCAATGTTTGTGACAACATGTTTGAAGATCAGAGTAGTCTGTGTGTTAAAGGGTCCAGTATCTCCTTCACCTTGATCCAGCAGAGAGGCTGAGAAAGCCACCTGTTTGACTGAGAGAGAGAGAGAAATGTCATTTTAAACTTCCTGTTTTAGAGTTAGACTCTTCCCAAAAAAGTGACCATGACAAAAACTTTACAGCTGAAAGCGTTTCACTGTCACAGAAGAAGTCAAACTCTGGATAATCCACATACTGTGTCAGCAGGTGATTCGTTTGAAGCTTTGCCCTCAGATATCATGTGGAAGAAATACAAAATATTGTTGGTACTAAAGATTTTCAAACACAGTAGCGCCACCTTGTGAACAGATTTATAGCACTGATATATGTTGATCCTCCAGAGTTTGTTAGCTTCTGTCTGAAGGTGGCGCTACAGCACAAATACAGCTTCAGATGTTCACAGAAATTTATTTGTATGGAGCCCCGCAGGGGACATGGGAGAAAAAAAAAATTAAGACAGACTTTTGCGAGATCTCGCAAAACAAACTCGGGATCTCGCACAACTTTTCCGAGATCTCGCAAAACAAACTCGGGATCTTGCAAAACGTTTGCGAGATCTCGCAAAAGTTTTAGCCGCATTCTTCGGCCTTCGACCTCCCGTTAGCTCGAAGCTAACGGAAAGTCAAGACCTACTACAGCCGGGTGGAACACCGCTTTCCCGGCACATCGTGCCTCGACCTTCGAGCTTCGAGCCGGCGTCCGAAGAATGCGGCTAAAATATTTGGGAGTTGAGTTTGATTCCATAAAAAGTGACAAAAACATTAGCGTCCGCTGTGCGTGAGAAGAAAACTTCTTTTTACAGAGAAAAAACCCCTAAACTTCCGAGCAAGCACCGAGTAGCTACGACGTAATGGGAAACTCACAGAGAAACTCGCGGATTCTTCCACTGACCGCTGCACACCTGCACCAGGGTAACCCTCCGCCTACCCCACTCCTGCTTTACAGGTGAAAATAGAGCAACAGGACCGCTAGTCTTTGACTTTATTTATTTTCTGCTGTGTTTTACTTGCATCTATTTGAAAGACTGAGTGTAAACACACAAAAAATAATTATTTTATGTGCTGGAATGTGCAGAAAATAATGTTAAACTAATTTCTTCCAGTGAGAGAATGTTGCAGATAATTACATTTTTGCTTGATGCATAAAGTTAAAAGATTAAAACTAATAAAACAAGTTTTAAAAAGATCTATCGCTTTATCACCTATTCAGGTTGTAAATCGTGTTTTTAAAAAGTAACTAAGTAATTAACTACTCTGGAAAATAAGTAATCAGTAAAGTAACGGAATTATTTTGGGGGAAGTAATCAGTAATTAGTTACTGATTACTTTTTTCAAGTAACTTGACCAACACTGGTGAGCAGCGTTGTGTCTTTAACTGTAACACATTCCAGTCACCTTGTGATGTTGAGCTGTTCAGAGCAGGTTTTAGTTTCAGTGTCTAACATTACGACATTCAAACATAAACACTAATCTGGTCAATTTAATATCAGATTTAAGATATAACATTAATTCTAAAATGTAAGAATGTATCAATTATAGAAATCTTGCAACATTCCTCTTTCAGATTCCCACACAGTACCTTGTAACTGCTGCTTCAGCTGGTCGATCTCAGTCTTCTGACTCTCCAGCTTTGCTGCTAGTTCTGAGAAAATATAATAGAAATAAAAAGAAAAATCTCCCTGACAGCACACAGTAACAGTAACTGTGACTCTCATTCTGTTCATGCTACACTGATCAGTGGTCTCCTCCACGTCCCCTCATCCTCCACCTCACACACTGCAGAGCCACAGGACCACACCTCCTACAGGTGCTGGGTGCCCATAGACTGTATGTAAAAGATGGCTGTAACCACACCACTTGTCTGCTCACTTATTTAACATGACACCCATATGGACTCAAACTCATGTAGAACCTTTTTACTCAGTTAAGCAATCAAAGGATTGATGATGGCTGTAACCATGCAGCTGTGCCAAATGGCTACAGGGGTGTGGGTTTGAGTCCTGATTATGTAGCATAGTTCATACACACATAATTACTAGGGGTGGGTTTTTATAATCGATTTATCGATTAAAATCGATTCTGGCTTGGATAACGTGAAATCGATTCATTAAAATCCTGAATCGATTTTTTAATATAAATTTATTTTGCCCGAAATGACAGAATCTCTGGTGAAACGTCACAAAATTTCAACAACCACCAAACAGCTAAAACAGTAACTGAGAGCAGGAACACGGACTCTGCACAAAGACGTAAACACAAAGCACGGACCTGCCGACGGATCAGAATCAGTGAGATGTCGCCTTTCTCACCCGACAGCACGGACACGGTCGGGGCTGAAAGCCGACAGCTCGCTGATTCTGATGTGTCGGCGGTCCGCGCTTTGTGTTTACGCCCTTTTTGCGCTGATTCTGAAGCTGCAGGTTTTTATCTCTCTCCAAACAATATTGACTGAACCAGCAGCAAAAGAAGATCCAAACTAGCTTCACATAAACATCGTCATGAATTCACTCTGACTTTTCCTGTTTTGCTTCCACCAGGATAAAATCACACTTCATGCACAGCTCTCTCTCTCTCTCTCTCTCTGTATTTCAACAACAGTTTCCCGTCTAAAAATCTGTTTTCTGCATTATTCGCTTGCTTGTTACGCACAAGTTTACTGTTGTTTACAGGCTGTCGGCCGCTGTTTTTTTTCCCCCCTTTTACTTACTCCCGAAAAGAAAACCTAATTTCTACCGTTCAATACTGAACAAATGTAAACTTTCTAAAATTATGCAAAATGCAAATCGCTTAGCCGTGTCTCTAATAAAACCGCTGTAACGTCAGAGGTAATGTTCACGTGTTGATTAATGTTTTTCTTTCGTTTTTGATGTACTGCAGAATATTTTTATAAAATCCCAGAACAGGAAAATCACCTTCATGTTTTTCTGTTTTATCTTCAGCTACTTTGACACAAAGGCATCTGCTATGATGCTCACACCTTTGATAAAGTCTTGCGAGTGTCAGCTTCCTTTTTATAGATACAAAAATATGTAAATGTACTGATCTGAATTATAATATTTCTGACTGTCAGAATTTCCCAGATTCAAATCGAATTGAATCGAGTCGATTCTAGAAATCAGTGACGATACCCAGCCCTAATAATTACCCAACAGTTGAGTAGAGGTTGCTGGCTTCTGTCTGCAGGTGGCGCTACAGCACAAATACAGCTTCAAATGTTCACAGAAATGAGGCCCAGATTTGCTAAAACAGCCTGTGAGTGTAATGGTGAAACAGCACTAATAGGTTTGGTTAGTTTTAGGTGGGTTGCTCTGTTTTCTGAACACTGGTGCAGTCAGTTCATTACCTCCACAAAGGAGGTTATATTGTTGGATGTGTTTGTGTGCATGTCATTCTTTGTGTCTGTAAACACGACAGCTCGAGAAGTTTAGATTCTGATAAAACTTTGTACTGGTGTAGAATGGACTCATTCACTTCAGTGTTGTTGATATAGTGCAAAAATCACAACAACAGTTTCCTCAAAGTGTTTTTTCTTGTAAATTAAAGTCACTACACTAAATGTTCAGATTAGAGTATAAGTACAGATCATACACTCTCAGCTGGAGGTCATAGTTGACCGATGACAATGTTTCATGATGTTCTCCAAAATCTGAACATTCAGTCTGGCTGTCAGAGAGCTGTTTGTGAGTCTGTTTTAGAAAGGGTGAATGCAGCGGGTGTGAAAGAGTGCTCCACTGAAGAAATGTGAAAAAGGTAACATGATCTCAGACACACAAAGTTAAGGAGACTGTTGGAGGTCCTGTGGATGAAACACCCGTGACTGAACAGTCGTTTGTACCTGAACAGGTAACCGTGGTCGAGGTTATTGATTTCCTGGACTGAATAAATTTGAACATTAGTCAAAAATCTGATCATACCTTCTGACTGCAGCTTCAGCTGATCGATCTCAGTCTTCTGACTCTCCAGCTTTGCTTCTTGTACTGAGAAAAACACAAAACAAAGAAAATCTTACTGACAGCACACAGTGATTCACATGTTTTTATCTCTAGTGCTGCTCTGGTGGTGTGGTCAGTGTCACGATCCATGGGAGGAAGGATAAGCACAGTCACCTTCAACAGAGTCAGATGTTCATCACAATTAAATCCTGATCATCTGGAACACCAGGAGGACACTCTGGACTTCCCTACAAGTCTTTTTTTTCCAGGAAACAAAGACATCATGAACAGACCCTGGATATTTTGACACAACTTTGATTATAATGTTTGTGGATTTGCAGATTACTGAGTTTTTGTTCTTCCTGATACAGAAAACATGCTCAGTTTCAGATGGAGGGTTTAACAGTACAAGTGCTGCATCAGTTGCTCCCAGGATGTTTGGGAATCCTGCAGTGACTTGAAACTCCTGCTTTACTTATTGAACAGCATCCTTCATCAAACAGTGATTACAGCACAGCAACGTATTGCTGACGTATATCTGCTGTGTGGGTGGAGGTTACAGCTGATTTGATGTTGGAACAGAGAGAGCGCACTCACTGTCCACTCCAGGGACTGCCCGTCTGCATGCAGTGAGCTCTGCTGTCAGATGGAGGCAGTGTACACAGTATGTGTTACAACCGGTCTGTGGGTCACTCCTGTGTTGTTGTTGGTCTGTGAGCCGTGAAGCAGAACGAAGTTATAACTTACAAAGAGCTGAAGTCAACAGTGAAAAGTGTCCACTGCAGTCACTGTGTTTTTCATGCTTTATTCTTTTGTATCTTTAATGTTTCAACATTTCTTCCAAGTAAAAGTGTGCATGGATGGAAATATCTGCAGGTCTATAAATCTGGATTTAGGCAGAACTGACATCATTTTCCCACTGTAAAGAAGCAGCATCGATGGAGCTTACGCCTGCTTTACTGACTTCCTACTTCACTTCTCACACAAACTGTGTCTAATGCAGCCCTTCACAAAGTGTGGGGCCCGCCCCCTAGGGGGGGCGCGGGATGAAAAGGGGAAAACAAAACGCTTGGACACTGCCAGCACGGGCGCCTACACAAACGCAAAGCAGGAGATGAAGCGTCGCTGAATATGTTTCCAAATCAACTTCATTCTGAGCCAAAGACTAGAAAATATGATGAAGCAAATCTTCCCTTTGGCTTCACCTGCACAAGTGCCGAGGTAGGTCTCCCTGCAGGATTGGTTTTCCCTTCCTCGGGAGCAGCGCTGGGCTGTTTAAATCACGGACAAACAGGATCCAACAGC